AGGTCTGGGACTTGAACTGCAGTCCACTATGTGGAAGTGCAGCAATATAACCATTGCGTCATCAGCTGGCCCCCAAGTTCTTAGAGTATCTCAATACTAAAATAATTTTTTTAAATTTAAGGTTCTGAATTTTATTACAGAGAATAAAAAAAAAAAAACCCACTTAGAGATTCATGGAAGATAAACTTTATTATAAGGAGAAGGACCATAGAGAAAAGGGAGAAATTAATAGTTCAGAGTTAAGGTTTAAAACAGCATTTTTCAGAAGGACAGAAAGAGAAAGATATGCAAACCAGAGTTATTTGAATGTTAGCATTCCAGGCCAGGAGTTCTTGTATCCACAAGGGGGCATTATTGTAGCATGGGCTGCATTTGATTCTAAGTCTCTTGCGCTAGACCAGACCTCACAACTTTAGGTAACGACAGATGCCACCCCTTCCGTTTCACCATCTTCTACCAACATTATCCTCCCTCCATCTACTTTCCTTTGGCCATCTGCATTTTCGAGGTCCTTCCTGCTTTTTCTAGGTCCTTCCTTCCAAAAGCCTATTGCCACATATTTCTATTTGAAAAATAACTGGACTGCTTGCTGTCCTTCATCCTTGAGACTTCTGAGTATTTTCGAATGGTTGACCCAGATACAGTGCTAGTTCTGAATATAGGTGCAAACCCAGATCTTCTGTGGTTTAAAGATATTCTGGTTGTTTCATCACAGGCCAACAGGCAGCAGTGTTGATTTTATATCCTGGGAAGGCCCGTGTATAAGCTGGCAGGTAAGGCCTTCTTGAATTGACTTTTGACCAAAAGAGTCGCAGTATTTTTTTTTTTTTTCAGTTTTGTCAGAGGGCACACGTACTTGCTGGAGAGAGACAGAGACAGACAGTGAGGAGAAGTGAGAAATCCCCTCCCACATGGGGAATGGTCACACTGCAGTCCCTACTCTACCATCTCTTTCTCCTTTTGGGATTTTGGACATGTTCTCAAGCTGGCAGGTCTGGGACTTGACCCACGCAGTTGGCCATGTGGAATCCAGCCACCTTAACCACCACACCACTAGCTGGCCCAAGAGTCACAGTACTACAACCTTCCTTTTTTTTATTTTTAAGAATTATCTTGGGACCAGCAGATGGCGTAATAGCTACTTCGCTGGACTCCCATGTAGTCGACTGTGGTTTGAGTCCCGGACCCGGTGGCTTAAAACTCACAGCAGGCACATGTGCGTGCGTGCCCAAGATCCTGAGAGGAGAATGGAGGAAAAGGGATTGCGGTATGGCCATCCTCCCTGGGGGATGATTTCTGGCTTTCTGTCTCTCTGTCTCTATCTTTCTGGTGAGCACACGCACCCTATAGCAAAACAAGACCTCTCCAAAATAAATAAAATGTGTTTATTTATCTGTTTATTTAAATTTGATTGGAGAAGGACAGAGTGAGAGTGAGAGAGCGAGTATGGGAGAGAGAAAGTGAGAAAACAAGCAAGCTACCTGGTCCAGAATTCAAACTGCAGTTGGCCATGTGGGAGTCCAGCACCCTAACCACCATGCCACCTGCCAGCCCCTCCAACCATACTTTTATAATAAGGTAATGCTGTGGTATGGATTTCTTTTTCAGTTTATTTAATATTTATCCTTTGTTCTCAAAGAAGGCAATAAGCAGCTTTGCTGTAAACTTCTAGGAAGCTTAAATTCAATAACATACTCATGTTTATAATGATTCCTGTATTTTGGAGCTTTTAAATCCTATTTTAGGCTATTTTATATTTATAGCTGTGAAGTGAAGGTAATTAATTGAATCACAGTTCTTACTAAGTAAATCACATCTCAGATACTTGGCAAAAGCTAGTTATCAATAGCTTATATTATTTTCAAAGCTGATTGGGCTCATAAACCCTCCTTTTAAAAATGAGATCCTGGGACCAGCAGATAGTGTAATGGTTATGTTGCAGGACTCCCACATGGCTAACCACGGTTTGATTCCCAAACTCAGCAGATTGAAACTCACGCTGGGCATGTGTGTGTGCGTGCCTGACTGCCCAAAATCCCAAGAGGAGAATGGAGGAGAAGGGATTGCAGTGTGGCCATCCCCCCCTGGGGGATGTCTCTGGCAAGCACATGTGGCTTTTTGTCTGTCTCTAGCAAGCATATGTGCCCTGTAGCAAAAAATTTCTCTTAAAAAAAAAAAAAAAAAAAGAATCCAGAAGTGAATCGTTTCTTCGAGTTGAGAACCTATGAGTTGTTCAGGTACCATTGCTGATGGGGGTTTTTAACCTCCCCGAGTGTATGCTTTCACTGGTTCCCAGGTCTGGAGAGGTCTGGGAGTATGGTGGCCTTGCCTTCCTGCGTAATTATTGTGTCCTTTGATTTTTCTAGACTAATTATATAAAATGTGTCACCAAATAACACTACTGTTCCCCTTTTTTCTTTATTAGCACTCCTCCTTTACTCAATGATAGTAATTTCCTTGTTCACCGTCTGTGGTATGCATAACATTATTGCAAGGAGAAGTTGGTGGCCCAGATAATAATTGAGAGTTCTTGCTAAGTTCTCTCCATCAAGCTAGCTTGAAACCATCTTTTGGCAGAAAGAATATACTTCTGGGATGGAGATTTTTCTCTAATATCAAATTCAAAGTCATGGCAATTTATTTTGCCCCTGTATACCTAAGAGACTATGATAATTTGGTATCATTACCCTCTTTATTTTTTTATTTCTGAAACTTTTATTTCCTATCTGGTTAGGTCAGTGTGTGTGTCCGTTGTTGTTGTCCTATACCGTTTAGCCTGTTGCTATAAAGAATTTTGGTTAGTATTTTTTTAATAAGCAGCCTTAACTGAGTAAGATACTGCTAAACTTGTTAAGTGGAGTTATTGATAGTTCAACTCCCCAGAAAGGGAGAAAAGCATATTAAGTTGGAAAGGAATTTTAAAGTTTATCACAAATTACATTGATAGAAATTTTACCATTTTTTCACTAATAACTCTGACATATATACTTGGAAAAAATATTTTCCCAAGTAAGAAGTATGTGATTTAAAGAATACAGAATTTCTTCTTTGGAAATCTTTAACATGAAAACATGATGCCTCACTGTAATAAACATTTGAGCTTACAGCACAAGCTGCTCTTACATAATCACTCTCTATTCTCAGATCAGTTGCGACTTTGACTAGGGAAAGTCTCACAATGAGTATGGGCCAAAAGATGAGGAAATGTAACCTCAGAGAGGTTAGGAGCAGTATTACTTTACTTCTAGGTGCAAGTCGGTCTTAGCTGCTTTGAATTGTGCATGCAGCACTAGCACAGCGTTAGCCACATGTGAACTATGTGGTGCTCTCTGGTCTTTGAACTGTTTCTGATAGATGTGATCATAGTATTACAAATAATATTTCTTATAATCCTTTGGAATTTAAGCACGAATTCCTACTACTGTATCTCAGGAAACAAGCATTTTAGCTGTGAGCTTTTTTCTCTTACAATCTTGCTGGTTACCAATAGAACCTAGCCATTGAACTAATAAGGATGATCAGCTTTATACCTTTGATTAAGATACAGTTCTTCAGACTGTATTTGTACCTTTTGTTCTGTCTCCAAGCCCACTGTTTTCACCGCAGCGTGTATGAACATTTAAACACTAGTCTCATGGTTCAGTGAATACGGCCATTCCAGGAACACAGACTTTGAATTAAATACATATTCCTTCAGTTCCAAGGGACTTAACCTTCTTTTCAGTAGACTTAAGAGAAGGGCTCTCAGTTCAATGTAAAATGTCTCAGTCGCTTAATATTGCACGTTGAAAATTACTTTTAAAAGATGTTTGGGGTTGGGGACATTTGTGATACAATTTAACCAGAAGATGGCAGTGATGATCCTCGTATGGTCCCTGCAACGGTAATCAGAAAGTTTTACCATGTTAGAGCATGAGACATGCACGTTCAACTATTGGTATATAACGTTAAAAGTTGGCAATTTAGGGGAAAGTGTTTGCTGTTTATTTTATATACTATAAGAATATGTATTTTCTATAAGAAGGGATTAAGAATATTTTGGGTGTCTGTATCTTTGTCTGTACACTTCAGTTTTTTCTGAATACTGGGGTAAGGAAGTTACCATAAGTCTTGCCTTGTTTAATTTGCATGTATCATTTTATGTTATGCATCATGTCTGAAAGGCATGCTGTTTTATGGCCTGTTTGCATTTTTCACCCAAATTGCTGGAAACTAATGGACATTTTAAAGGAGCCATTCCTTTGGTTGCAGACATTTTTGTAAATTGCTGTCTTGTGGGGGGATAAAATAAATCATTTTAAACATTTTTTGAGAGAAAAAAATTGTTAAAGAAAAATTAACATTTTAAAACAAATCTCAGAAAAGCAGAGATTAAATGACTTACTGAAGCATATTTCAGAGTTTTAATTTGGGCAGCAATTACAAATAATACTTTATAATCTGGTGATCTTAAAAGTACAAAGTTAGAGGGACCAGCAGGTGGCATGGTGATCGGGGTACTAGACTCCCACATGGCCGACTATAGGTCGAGTCCCAGACCTGGTAGTTTGCTTTCTCTCATTCCCTCTCCATCTCTCTCTGATGACTATAGCAAGTTAAAAAAATAATAATAAACAAAGTAAATAATTCTTAAAAAAGACTTTTTTAAAGTGCAAAGTTAGAAAGGGGGAAAGGAATGTTCTCCTTTGAAAATTAGTGGCCACATTTGGTGATGGATGAGATGAATATGCATCCTTCCATAATCTTGTCTTTATGATTTTTTTAATATAAAGCCCAAAATGCATTTTGCCAGAGAAATTGCATGAATCTTCAGCATGCGTTGTTAACTTTGTCTTTTCCCCTTTCTTTTATTGTTCATTTTCATTCATGTATTTTTGTTTTTTGGTTTGCCATTATTTTCTTTTTCATTAATTACTTCATGTTAAATTATTTTGAAACGTCATAAGCCGAGCAACCTCTCCGTGTAGTAACAGCGGATACCTGTCTGTTTCACTATTTAGTCCCTCCTCCTATGTCTCCATCCTCCAAATCTGTGAGCACGCCAAGCGAAGCTGGGAGCCAAGACTCTGGAGATGGCGCCGTGGGATCTAGGTAAAGCAATTTTTAAAAAATGCCTTAGTGATAGAATACATTCAGTGCACAAGTACTGTTAACGATGTTTTATAGGACTCTAAATAGTTGTGTTTAGGTAGTCCTAATGTTTCAAAATTTAAATGCCAAAGAAAGTCTTTTTTGTAAATGGGGGAGTTTTGTTGTTGTTGTTTTTGCAATATTTTAATTGTCTCACTTGATTAATTAAGTACTAAATAGTTAACTGATTTTATGCTAATTATAAATAAAGATGTTAATGCATTTAAATTTTTTCTGTTTAAGCAAACTTTGCTGGTTATTAGTTGAATGTTTTGGGTATAAATTCAGTGTGTAAAAACTCTAGTGCGCTTAATTCCCCATTCAGTAATTGAAAATCTAAGTAATTCAGCTAAGTAGTCCAATTCTGTTCTATTAAATCACTAGTTCTGCTAATTAAGATAGAAAGTAGTAATGCATAAATTATTTAAAATAAGGAACGATGGCTCAGGAAATATTGGAGTGTTTACTGCCAACTTTTGCTGAACTTGAAACCTCCTTGTAAAGTTAAATTTCATGTTTGTTTTAGGATATTGTATACATGTTGGGACTTCTAAAAGTTCAGTAAACTTTCCTCCTAAGATTGTATTCAGAAAAGTATTACAGCATATTCTTTGAAACTCACTCACACACATGATAATATTAAGTCTTTAATAGCATCATACTTTTCTGACTTCTCACAGCTGAAATGAGATTGAACATAGCTAGTCAAAATACACAGCTAATTCAGAATTCTTATTTTTGGCCAGGAAAATAAATGTCCTAAGGATATCTTTTAGCACACCTTTTAGTAAGAAATAAACTTTTAGAACTTTTATCTTTTTTATTCCCAACTCCCTCTGATTGAAGTTACAAACAAGTTATGAAAGCCTGAAAGAGAGGGTAAGAAAAAAGTAAGGGAACTGGTTGATCCTTAAACTCAATACTGTAATCAGTTCCTGAATAATCAGGTTAACATTTAAAAGGTACATAAAGTTTGCCAGTATGAATTTGAGATGTGCTTTCCAAAAATTGTTATATATTAAACCAAAATTGCAAATGTAAGCAATGCTGTCTTGGAGTCCAATGACATAACTCTTTCGTTTAGGAAAAATAAAAAGTGCCTTTTAATAGAAATAAAAAGTTATTACCTTATAAAGTAGTATGTATTATGGGTTAAAGAGTGTTTTATAATTATGTATTTTTATACAAATATGTCAGTATTCCTTTAAATACCTAATAAGCAACTGGCATTTTCAACTGAAGTTTTATTTTTCCTTCTACAACAAACATTACCATAGTAAAAATATTTCCCAAGATAAAATAATTACTATATTTATAAGTTTGTTCATTTGACTTTATATATTATTTTTATGTAGATTCCATACTGTGTACATCACGAGCCTATTGTTCTTGATTTTGAATAGAAGTAGAAAGATTATTTCAATGCAGTGTCAGAAAATTTGCTTTCAGATGTACTGTGTAACATCTACTTGTTCTTTTAAATTAGCATGAATTAAAGTGTATTCTTCTCAGTTTCACAAACAAGCTAGAAATTATTAGAGACTCCTCAGAATATTGAAATTGGCATAGAGAGTAAAACCTGTTAAAATATTTACTTTTGTATAGAACAGATATTCATCCAATTGCTAGCTTTGAGTTAATTACTATAGCTTAGCACAGAAAATAACATCATGATGGCTTTTACTTTCCTAGAATTTTCATTCTACTGATTATATAATTCATTTAAGGATATATTGACTTTAAGCTTTAAGAGAAATGTGCTAACTTATGTTTAGTATATAGATATTTTATGATAAATTGTAAAACAAGCAATTTAATATCATGTGGGTTAGTTTTTCTTACTAGAGAATGAATATAAGGTTAGTTTTTTCTAAATGTAACAAGAGAGGAAAAAATATCTTTTTGAATGAGGTGACCTTTTATCTTTTTAATCTTCATACATGCATTGTTTTCTTTATGGGCATAGGCTTATTTTGAAACATTAATTTTCAGGAGGGCTGCATATGTTATATACACACACACATGCACACACAAATATATGAAACTGAATTCCACTAAGTCATCTCTAGATTCCATAGCAGAGGGTAGTATTGTTAATGGTGAAACGGGCAGTGAAATAATGGATTTTCAAATATATAGCATTTAAAAAGAATGCTTGTGTGTCAGAGTGAAGTGACATGAACTCATATTAAACAGACATGAAGATAATGAGAGAATAAAAATAAGAAAAAAATATCACAGGAAAATGCATGAAGATGTTGTGAAACATGTGAACCTGTACACTCAAGTCCATTAGCTGGCTAAAATGGTCTAAGGTTTCTACATACAAGGACTAGAAAAAGATAAATTAGACATTATAAAATATAATCTCTAAGCATGCCTCAGTCATTCTTTCTAAATGCCGAAAATTGGGACTGGTGGTAATTTATGAGTAAATATTGAAGGCCAATGAGAAGCGATATTTCTCTAATTTTATAGATTAAAAAGATACATTTCCTTAAGTTTCTAGTTCACTTTTTCAATCACCTGTGTTATTTCTAGATTTAGGTGGCAGTTATTAAATTGGGTAATCTATGCCCTTTGTTCCTTTTTTCCATTTTTGGTCATTTTACAGGCTTTTGGGTTATATAGGATTTATATTTTGTATGTCTGAAGATGCCTTTAATAAGTCTAAACGTGTGTGTTATACAGTGTGTTTTCAGTACTGGCTATATTTTGAGGTAAAGTCTTACTTGATTTTAGACTACAACGACATTCTTAACAAGGAGCTTTATGTCATTGGTAACAGCTAGAGCTCTTATATAATGTAAAGGCTGTTGGGAAACATTCCTTGGAGACCATTTCATAGAACCCTTTTGATTTAACAAAGCCTGAGTTTGTTGCTGTTCACTGCTTAGTACAAAGTAGGTCTTCATTGTGGCCTCTTCCTTCATTGAATATACACAATCCTGTTTAAATTCCATCTGTATCTTTTTTAAATGAAGGAATTCCACAGTGCAATTTTTTGTGACTGTTTTTATTGATAATATATAGGCAGGTAGAGGAGAGAAATCATACGCTGTACTAAAAAAATTTAATAACTAAAACCAAGTGCATTTATAACTTATGTAAGTGAGAAACAGATGACAGAAATGGTAGTAATAAATGTGTGCTTAAATTTTTATGGAACTATGAGCATTATACAATCCTGTACAAACTATGTTATGTATTACTAACTTACAGGAAT